GGAATAGATACATTACACTTATTTAACACACTATTACAGAGCCGCCAGTAATCACGAGAGCCAAAGTTGTTAGATATAACACGGTGACTCTCAGCAAACAGACTCAGCTCCTTCGAGGACTCGTTTACCAGAGCAGCAACGAATAGGCGTAGATGTGACGAGAGCTGTCACTCTGGTATAGCCGAAAATAGTGGTTCCTGTGGGCTATAGCGGCAGAACATGCTGATATGAATCATGGAGAAGATTGAAGTTTCATCTGGTATTTCTGAAAAGGAAAGAAATCATCCATGCCGTTTTTGACCCAAGAGGCAACTTCAGTGGCGCAATTCTCAATTTGAAGTTTAAAGATGTCAGTCCAGGGGGCGTCACGAAGAAAATCACGGAGTAAATCCCAATCAATATGCTATTAACGGAAAGAGGTCTTATAAATAGGAGGTTTGTGTTTAATAGATGATTGGAACGAAATATCAATAGATACTACAGAGTTTCCAAGACGACAGTATTGCGAAGCTCGTCAGGAGCGGGGAGGGGAAGTAAGAAATGGATCATGTAGAGAATCCTTTTGTTCGGTTTTGCTCGGGAAACGAGTAGGGGAATGCACGATTTGAGTAAAGGACTGAGTAGTAGAAAAAATGTAATGACTAAATACCGGCAACATCAGTAACATTTGAATGCTTAAGCCACGTGTCGTGGTACGCATTAAAATCACCAAAGACAAAGATGTCCGCACATAGATGAAGAGAGGACGCCTTTTCTATACTGTCAGAGATTATGTCTAATATACAGTAATCCTGAGAAGAGGGTTAGCGATAAAGGAAAAAGAGATAGCTGACAGAGTGTAATAATGAAAGCCAAAAGCACATGAAAGAGTTGTCTGGAGAGTCTAGAGACAATTGCCTTGCCATCGGAAGATTATGCCGGAAGTAAACACCGAGGCCATCCAGTATATATATTCACTCTCACATACATATATGTGAGTTAAAGATCAAATGCAGATCAAATATGTATCAGAATCCGACAGAGTTATAAAATGAAAGAACAAATAGGAAATGTATATCAATCTAACATGTTTCATTTTTATTAAGGCTTCGTCAGAGATTGAGAAAAAAAAAAACGGATAAAAAGACAGAAAAAAAATGGTATTTTCAATCATATTATGTTTGGGCAAGTTCTTATTGGTCAGACACGTATCACGTGTATTAAAATTGTGGTTAATTCTGTGTGTATGTAGGTTTGTGAAGATTCTTGTATGTATAAATGAACAACGGATGGTAATGTGTATTTATAATTGTGTGCGTGTATCTGTCTAGTTGCGGTTTTTATCTTCACCTTTTTGCGGTCAGCACACGCAGATGGGTGTCACAAGGTTCTAATTTATGGCTCGCCTCTTTAACAATGTTTACTTCATATTAGATATAAGTTAGATTCTTTAAGAATGGATTTAAAAAAAGATGGCGATGCAATGTAATGTTTTAGGCGTGTGTTTATAGTTGGTAATAATGTTAGCATTAAGTTTTATATATATATATATATATATATATATATATATATATATATATATATATATATATTCATTCTCATTAAGATGACTCAAAAAAAATTTGTGTTTATGTTGTGTTGTATTTCTCATGCATGCGAACAAGAAACTCCAAATGTTAACACCATCAACTATGAATACAGCCACAATATACTGGCTACATTCGGAAATTAATAATACAGCTGCCTCTCAGCAACTTACACACCGTTTACAATAGCGCTCACATTTATTTACTATAGCACAAGTAAAACACTTGAAAATGGCTATTCGCAACGAATAATCATTTGAGCAATTCTGCACTCACGAAGTTCCAAAAAGAAATCACTCGTTAGCATAGAAAAATATAATAAAATGAACAGAAGGACCTCATTAGCATCAGGCATTTTACTGAAACACACGCGCGCACACACATACGTACACACACAAACACACATATATATATATACACACACACAAACACACACAGATATATACATACACACACATACATACATACACACAAACACACACACATACATAAACACACATACATACACAAGCACACACACATACATACATACATACACAAACACACATATACATACATACATACACAAACACACATATACATACATACACAAACACACACACACATACACACACACACACATACACACACATATGATAAGATAGTTTTAGGGTATGCTATATTTACACGATAAAAGTGACCAATATCCGGGATGGGGCGTATGTAAATGTAAGCAGTGTGGACAGAGTTCAACATCGAATTGAACGCAATCTTCAGATGATGCCTTGAAGATGTAGTTCCAGCACGGCACAGACTGTCGCCATTCGACGTGTAACCCTATGTCCACACTGCATATATATATAAGAGGAGACGCTGGAAAGTTCTCAGCCGGACTAATAACAGATTCCCCACTAAAAAACTTCTGATGTTTGGTCATTTTGTTCAGATCTTTATTTGAACTGAGAACTTTTCAACCAACAGTCGCATGTTCGTGTACATATATATATATATATATATATATATATATATACACATACATACATATATATATATATATATATATATATATATATATATATATATATATATATATATATATATAGTGATAGTATGAGTATGTTGTTATGTAAACTTACATATATATGCGCTTAGATGAGAACATATATACATCGGTATGTAAGTTTCAGCCAGTGCATGTGTATATATCGACGTGTGTGCGTGTGTGTGTAAATGAATGTCAAATGAAGAAAGACAACAAAAAATAGATGAAGGCTGAGAATGATGATGTTGGCAAACGTATTTGCTTCTTTCGATTAGGATTTATATATATATATATATATATATATATATATATATATATATATATATATATATATATATATATAGCTAGATATTTTTTTTTTTGTTTAGGTGGGTATTTTGATTCGTTTTCCCTCTTACTTTTAATTCATTTCCAGTCTCAGCCTGGGGACAGACAAGTTGCAGCGAAATTACCGGAATGCTAAGCAAAGAAACATCTCGAAGGGAATGGGCGAGAATTTTAAGGGAAGATAAATGTCAGGTAAATAAAATGAGACGGGGGGGGAGAGAGAAAAACGGATGAAATAAGAGAGAACGGGAAAGGAAGAAATGCAGAATGTAAAAAAATAGAAAGAAATCGAATGCCAAAAAAACAAAAAAAAATCAGGTTTCGTACATACTCGGGGAAAAGTCGATTTCAATGCAAAAATATCTGACCCCTAAATTTGCCATCAAAATGTATCGTTTCTCTTTTCAATTAGATGTACAACTCTATCAAGAAATGTCCAGGATTGGTTGGTAGGTTGTTTTGTTTTACGGCCTATCAACCCCTCATGGGTCATTTAAATCCTCTTAGATGAAGACATTTTTAAAAGCTCGCCAAACAAATATATTCGTTCTCATCTGTTTTTCCATCTCATATTGTTTGCATCTACTAATAATAAATAATGTTCAAATCCCCGTCTTACGAACATTTCTCTTAATAATAATAATTCATCAGGCGATGTTATTTTATTTATGATAACTGTATTTTTGTCGATTGTCTTTTTAAAAATAGTCCTTTATTGCAGCAAGTATCGCTTCTCCCCCCCCCCCTTTTGGAGCGTGAGGCGGTAAAAAATACAATCGCTTCTCGGCTCTTTCGCTGGGATCAAAGTGTAGTATCTGTTCTCTCCTCATTTTAGATGGGAGAAGGCGCCTGATACCAAGAATTTCAACCATGTGACAGCAACTTCCTCTTAGGTTGGGTCGGTGTAATATCGAACCCAGCGTGACAGTGGTCGTGGGGATAGGGCGATTTTTGTCCTTGACCCATATGCACAAGTATGGGTACCCCATGTAAAAAAAATAAACTTGTGTCACAACCTGCCTTAGCGGGGAGGTCATGTAAATCTGCTTCCCAGCCAAAAGGTTAGGTTCAAAGTGTAGTATCTGTCCTACGTTTCATCTCAGCTGTGTCTCTATCTTCGCAACTGAAAATATTATCGAGAAACAGCTGTCAGCGGCCGTAGCTCGCTCACTGCTGGGCTATTTTTGGAACTTTCCCGGGTGCACAAGCTCGGGATCCCCACATTAAACTGGCCTTGTGTCACATTTTGCTACCGTGGAGTGGTAAGAAAATACACTCGTTTCTCGGCCTTTTGGCTAATATCAAAATGTAGTGTCTGTTGTTATCAGTTTAATCTTAATCTCTCTCCCCACCTTTATCTTCCCTTCTTTCATTTTCTCACTAAATCTCAATAGTGTCTTTTAACTCTTTCTATGCGATCAAAACAGAATAGTTCATTATTTATGAGGTATTGGTAGAGCGTAATGGTCGTGCGAACGAAGGGAGGAAGAAGCACAATAGGATAATTCATCTTCTTTGATGAAGCATCATCGTTATTTTTGATCGGCTTTACTTTTCCTCTTACTTTTAGTTGTTTGTTTACAACTGCCAGTAGTAATAGATATAATAGTCTTAAAAGTTCTTAATTTCTTAGATTAATTATTGGGTTTATTAATTTTGACTAGTTTTTTACTTTATTTTATCCTTTACCTTCGCTCTGATAACCTTTAGACGTAACAGTCTTCGAAATTTTGTTTTTTTAATTAATTTTGGACTAGTTTTTAATTTCATCTTATTTTTGCTGCTTGTTTACGACTATTAGCCATAGATATAATAGTAAGATTACTGAAATATTATCTTTATTATTAATTTTCGATTAGTACTTTTTATCTTATTTTGTTTTTGTTGTTGTTATATATTTACAACTACTAATAATAACAAACGTAATAGTCTTTCTGAATTTTTTCGATGGACTACTGTCATTATTATTCATTATTTATATTCGGGCTATTATTCTCATTTTTGCGACTAATAGGGCATATTGAAGGCATGAAGAACAGAATAGAGTATCGAGTATCCTGCCTTACGAGCTTGTGAAAATTGATGACAGAATAGAGAGAGAGAGAGAAGGAGAGGAAGAGAGAGAGGGAGAGAGAGAGGGAGCGGGAGAGAGAGAGGGAGCGGGAGAGAGAGAGAGGGAGCGGGAGAGATTGTAAAAAGACAGACATTGCTAAGAGTTATGAAAGATGAAATTGTGGAAAGAATAAGAATGAGGAGGAGGAGGAGAAGAATCATTAGGTTAGCAGCATGGATTGGTAATAAAATAGACAAATAGCCTTCGATGAAATTCGAACTCAAAATTCCTTATACATTTGGGAGCTGTCTGACATGGAAAGTAAGTTATCGATCTTGTCATGTAAAGCAACCAGCAGGCAAGGTTCAAATCTCCCCACAAAACCACATCCATTTTCATCCGATTTTCTTCAGGCTATATTGTTTGTTTACTTAAATGGTGTAGGAATGAAAACAATTTCAGCGTTGCAATAAAAAAAAAACCTAATAATAATAAGATGGCAGCTAAGAATAGTATGAAAAAGAATAAAAGGAAAAAAAACAAGACGATGGAATGAAAAGAAAAGAAGATCAACAAAAAAAAAAAAAAGGAAAAAAAATTGCAAGAACCGAAGAAAAGAAAAAGGCAAAGAAAAAGGCAAAGAAAAAGAGGTAACGTGAAAGAGCAAAAGGAAAGAAAGAAAAAAGAAAAGTGAAAAAAGTACAAAGAAAAGAAAAAAAGAAAAGTGAATGTAGTACAAAGGAAAGGAAAAAAAAAAAAAACGAAAAAGAAAGAAAAAGTGAAAGAACAACAAAATGTATGAAAGAAAAAGAGAAAGGAGAAAAAAAAAAGAAAGAAAATAGAAGGAAGAACAAAAAAGGAAGAAATAGGAAAAGTAAACAAAAGAAAGAATGTAATATCGAATGTGAAGGAAAAGAAAAGGTAAATGAAGAGTAAAACGAAAGAAAAAAAAGGAAATTAACAAAAAACACAAAAAAGAAAAAAGGAAAAAGAAAAAGAAAAGAGGAAAATAAAATAAAAAGGCAAGTAGAACAAAATAAATAAAAATAAAAGAACATAAGAAAGATAAATAGCAAAATGAAAGAAAATGAAAGAAAATAAAAGTGAAAGAGAAAAAAAGGATAGAATGGGAAAGAGGAGAACAAATGAAAAATAAAGAATAATAATAAGAGACAATGAAATACAAAATAAAGAATATATATATATATATATATATAGTTTTTCATTGTCTCTTATTATACACAAGAAAAGGTTATTAAGGCAATATGAAGAAGTGTAGTGAGACGGAGAAAGAAAAGAAGAATTAATGCTCGAAAAAGAGAATCAGAAAGAAACAAGAAATAGACAAGAAAAAGAAACGACTGCAGAAGGTGAGACCAAGGTGCAAAAAAAAAAAAAAAAAAAATTGGCGAGACAGGAAAACCGTCAAACAAAAATCTGTGATCTATTATTGTGGAATCTGTCGAGTCCATGTTTTGAGCTTACGGTTGAATCTCACTGAGATTCAGTGATCCGTAATATCGTTTTCGATTGAGTCAGGTTGTTCAAAACTGGAAGCAGTTCAGGTGACCTGCTCAGAAACGATGACAAGAGATGCGAGCACGCAATACTCAAATGTTATTACGACCAGTAATATAATCCTCGCAGATGTTGGGCGAAAACTTTATTGGAATTAGTACGATCAGAGACACGAGGAATAGAATGGCAAAGACAATGTGGTGCTGGGGTATGTACATTAGAAAAAAAATAGAAGGAAGACCAACAAAGAAAAATGGGAGGGAAAATGAGCGAGAAACAGAGATGGAAACAGGGTGAGGGTAATGGAAAAGGAAAGAGAAAGAATGTAAAAAAGGGAAAGAAAAAAAAAGATAATAACGTGGTAGAAAAAGAAAATGAAGACTTAAAGTGAAAAAAAGGGAAGTATTAGTTGTGAGCGCAAAAGTTTCCAGTATTATATATAAGAATAAAAAAAAACGGTTTTGGACAATTTCCTCGCAGATGAAAAAGATACTTGAAGAGATGTGGTTCTACTGTGGAATGCTAACAATAGTATGATGAGAAGATGTGAGCAGCACGGAAATCTACAGGGAAATTGGAACTGCAAGGAAACTTATGTTAAGGGAAAAAGAACAAAAAAGGCACACTGAAAAAAAAAAAAATATTGAGGAGGAAGAAAGAAAGAAAACAATGTTAAGAAGAAACAGAATGAAAGAAAAAGTAACCACGGAAAAGAAAAATAGTGATAAAGAAATAAGAAAGGAAGGAAGAGAATATTAAGGAAAAGAAGAAAAAAAGGCAATCTAGAAAAAAAAAGCAAAAAAGAATGCAGAGAAAAAAGAAAGACGAAAAATAGTGTTAAAGAAGGAAAGAAGTACTTAGACAGAGTAAAAAAGAATTCCAAGAAAAAAAAAAAAGAAAGAAATTTCATATTAAGAAGAAAAAGAAAGAAAGAAGCAAGCAGAAATGGAAAAGACGAATTCCAAGAAAAAAAAAGAGAGAAAGAAATTTCATATTAAGAAGAAAAAGAAAGAAAGAAGCAAGCAGAAATGGAAAAGAAAAATTCAGAGAAGGAAAAAGAAAGAAATGAATGCCAAGAAGAAAAAGAAACTAGAAAAAGAAAATTGCGGAGAAAAATGTTAAAAAACTAAAGAACGCCAAGGAAGGAGAACGGTTATAAGCGAAAAAAAAAAAAAAAGTTAAAAAACGAATGTTAAAGAAAAAAAAAAAAAAAAAAAAAAACCAGAAGGAAAATATAGGAAAAAGAAAAATAACCGAATTGTGTGTGTGTGTGTGTGAGAGAGAGAGAGAGAGAGAGAGAGAGAGAGAGAGAGAGAGAGAGAGAGAGAGAAGAGAGATATTGTTAGTAAAAAAAAGAAGTAAGTTAAATAAAAAGAGAAGCTGAGAGAAATGAATAAAGTTGAATGAAAGCAAACACACACACACAGAAGTGGGGAGAGGCGACAAAAAGAAAAATTGAAAGAGGAAGAGATAGAAAATGAGAAAGTAGAGAATGACAGAGAAGGGAATATAAAAAATTGAAAGGAGGTGTAAGCGAATAATGATGATGAAGAAGAAGCAAGTAGTAGAGGAGAAAAGAAAGGAAAAGCGGATATGACAATAAGATGATGCGAATGAAGATGCAGAAAGAAGGGTAAGGAATCAAAGAGAGAAAAAAGAAGAGAAAGATGAGATAAAAAAGAAGACAACTACTCCTTTTTTCTACTTATGACAAAGAAACGAAAGAAATTGTCAAAGATGAAGAGAAAGATAAGAGAGAAAAGAAAAAAAATGACGGAGAAAAAACATGAACAGAGAGAGGGTGGGAAGAATAGAAAGACAGAAAAGAAAAACAAAGGAAAATAAACAGACAAAAAACAAAAAAAAAAAAAAAAAGAGAGATGGAGAAGAAGAAAGAGTAACTGGCAGAATAGTTCAGTGGGAAGACATGACAGAAAACCCAGTGAAGACAAACAATGACAATTTAAGTACGCAAAGGAGAATGAAATCAGCAAAAAGAAAGAAAACATTTAAGAGGCAGAGAAAGAAATCGTTAGACGCGGAAGAAACGGTACCCAATGACACGAGAAGGCTTTCATTATTGCAAGGGTCTTACAGCCATATCACGTTGAAACACCGATTCTCATATGATCACCGAAGTTATGCAACGTCGAGGCTGGTCAGTACCTAGATGGGTGACCGCTTAGGAATAACAGGTGCTGTAAGCTTGCATGCGTGTGTGTGTGTGTGGGGGGGGTGTAATAGATAACGGCTCGGAATTGGTAATCAATGAGCTGAGTTCCAATTCCAGTCGTCTTATTCACTTAAACGCAAATACCCTTGGGAAAGATAATAATCCACCTGTTCTCACCCCCAGCTATGGATTAATTAGTAAGACCTGTATCAGTAAATTATTATTATCTCCAAAATATTCTTACAATCTGAAAATATTTTCTGGCTTTATATAACCTGCAAAAGGTTGATAAGCCATAAAATACAAATCAATCAATTTATGGCAAGACTTGTTATGTCAGGCGGCTGTCGTTAGAATCTAAATAAAACCGATTTTTAATGCAGGCAGACGCTCTCCATTTGGATTTTTTTAAATCATTGCGCCCAAACTAAGGCAATAAAGCCACTAAGACTTAAGGGTTACTGAGTGTTAGAGAATATGAGAAAAAACACTAATAAGGAGAGAGAACAATGAAAGAAGAGGAATTAAGAAAATAGAAGATAACGATTGGTATTGCATTTAAATTTTTGAAAACCAAAGATGTCTGGATAGCAAGAAGCCGAAAGAGAGTTCCACAAACGAGAAGTGCAATAGAAGAAACTGTTAGCATAGAAATTACGGTTACATTTATCAATTTAAACTGTAAAATGATGTGACCTTGCCTCTAATCTAGTGTTACGCTTAAATTCATAAAGTCTAGCTGACGGCACTAAATGTAATCGTTCATCACCCTCCCCGGCCGTCCAAGACTTCCAACACCGCAGCTGATCGATGAAGATCGCTTCGATCTCAGACCTGCCTTATCCCACGTTGTGATTTAAGTTTGATCATAAGGAGGTAAGAAGCGAATCAGCGCAGGTATCTTCGTGTTGGGCTGGTTCAAGTAGAGCGAAGACGTAGAGAAGAGAAAAAAATAAGACTCGAATGAATTAAACAAAAGTAAATACTGATTTTATATCAGTCCTCCGTACAATAATTGGTTTATATCAGAGTCCACATGCAATTAATTATCAGCCCAACCCGCGTCTAAATCGGAAGTGATATTATTGTTGCTGGTCTGGCAAAATCTGGTTTACTGCTTCGGTAAAGTTTGGCACAAGGCTGAAGTCGGAGGCTTTCGTCGGCAGATAATCACGTGGGCCTCTCTCCTGTTGCTGTTCTCGTCTTCGTCTCTTCTGTCTCTCTTCTCTCTTCTGCGACTCGTCTTTATGGACATTCTCCTAAACTGGCGAAGTAAGAGAATTCGATAATTCTGGGGAATTCCCTTCTTCCAGTAAATTACCTCTCACTAAATCTCCTCAGTGAGCGTGGGTAGATTATCCACCCCCTCCTGGTATTCCAAATCAACTTTCGGCCAGGGGAATCAACTCCAAATTCGTTGTTTACGAAAAATGAAATTTTCGCTTTACAGCTTGCATTTTCAGCTTCGTAGAACAAAGTCAATCATCATTGCCCCCCCCTAAGTCTGGGTCAATTTTCTATTGTTCAAACTGCTCGACATACAATTCAAGTCATTTATGTGTGAATTAAATCCTCAATTCTTCCCACGGGTTTTGGTATTAACCCTTCCCGTTTCAATGTCTCTCAGTACATAACACTTATATTTCAACAAAACTTTTCCCGTTTTACTGCGGCAACGACAAACTGTATCACACTGAAGAAGAAAGTTCATCTGAACAATTACCATGAAAATATTGATAGAAAAGGTACAGGGAAGCTACACTACATCGGTAGGAAAGTGACTGAAGCCAAGATGTCAGGTCAAATATTCATCTTGGGATTTTATCAAGAATCTCTAAACATATGGCAACAATATTCAAAGCAAGGATGAATGGTAGACTTATAAATATGTAAGATTTATTCTAGCGAGAAAAAATTGTCTCGCACGACACAGTGAACCAACTTTCATAGTGGCAGACTTAGCAATTGATTCAATATAAATGTCGGTGGAAAAATTTAGCCGGAGAAAGCGCAATGAATCGTTCTCCTGGAGATTAGCATCAGGCAATCTGATGGAAGGCAACAAGGGTTCTCTTGGATGATTAAAAGAAAGCAGTTTCGTTTACATTTAACAAGCCAGTCCTTACCCCAGTTAATAACAATCTTTCAATCCCTGCTTAAAACTATCTGAGCTTACGCTGCATAAACTAAGCTTAAAGAATACCATAAACAAACATTGATTCTCAGTACCGGTTGGATCAGTTGCGTATTTTCTGCCTATGTCCAAGGTCAGTGTTCGATTCCTGGTAAAAAGCCAGCGTTATAATAACAGCTTTCAAGACAGGCATCATCTTATTAGTGGGAAGGCTAGTGTAACACAATCGTCCATTTTCCCCAGATTTTGACTTTATGCTAAATAGATATCGAAATGAGGTAAGCGTATAGGAATGGAAACAATTTAGGTTAGATTAGATTGGTTAATTTAACGACATATCAACCTTTATTTGATTGTTTGACGTAGAATATAATAACACTTTTATAATAAAAATCGATATTAATTCATAGGTAGATCTAGGTCTGTATTAAAGTAGAGTCCAAAAAGTAGACACAGGTTCAATTAATATAAGATTCATATAAGCAGATATAGCTCATGTTTGCACAAATGGCAAAACGATCGACATAGTTACGGTTTACACTGCATTCAAAATATAAACTCAAAAACGGTACACATGGGCTCGGTTAGCACCAGACACAAAAACGGTACACATAGGCTCGGTTAGCACCAGACACAAAAACGATACATGGGCTCGGACCAGACACAAAAAACGATACACATGGGCTCGGTTAGCACCAGACACAAAAAACGATACACATGGGCTCGGTTAGCACCAGACACAAAAACGATACACATGGGCTCGGTTAGCACCAGACACAAAAACGGTACACATGGGCTCGGTTAGCACCAGACTCAAAAACGGTACACATGGGCTCGGTTAGCACCAGACTCAAAAACGGTACACATGGGCTCGGTTAGCACCAGAGTCAAAAAAGAAGACATGTGATCGGTTAGCACCAGAGTCAAAAAAAGAAGACATGTGTTCGGTTTGCACCAAAGTCAAAAAGTAGATATAGGTTTAGTTTGCACCAGAATGAAAAATAAAAGGAAGACATTGGTTCGATTAGCACCAGACTAAAAAATGTAGACATGGATTCCATTGCAGCAGAGTCAAGAAAGGAAGACATAGTTTCGGTTTGCACGTGAGTAAAAAACGTAGATTGTCTTTCACGGCTATGTGAGTTCTTTAAAGCCGAAACATATTGGAATGTAAGAATAAATCTTTTGGCGAGTGAATATTGCATTAACACGTTTATGAAATAAAAACGATTTTCCAGATACAAGTCTTACCATTTAACGCGTAGTTGGGGAAAGGTATTTGCGAGTAAATGAATATAACGAACTCGGCCGGAATTCGAACTCTGCTCTCTGTTTTCTCAGTCCAAGACGCTATCCATTAAGCCATCGGCACAGCCGTCAAAATGGCAAACGTACATTTGATTTGCACTTGCGTCAAGAAGGCAAATATTTGTTGTATTTATAGACGATTCAGCAATTGTCATACTTGGAAAATGTTTTCATTTTGAGAGGGGGTGTCTTACACCACTGTAGGCGAAAAAGAGAGGGGGAAAAAGAAAAGAAAAAGGAAACGAAAAAATAAATTTGAAAATCTTTTTTCTTTCTCAGACTTGTTGAAATCTTTTTTAGCAAATCATGAAGATGCTTTTGGCTCTCTTCCTTTTACATTCCAAATTTTCTCTTCAAATTCATTCTCTATAGCCCAAAAAAGGAATTGTGATTTATTTAGCTTAGTTTTGTTAGGTACAAGGACACAATTATTGTGCACCCTACATGGTACCCCATATTCTGAGTAGGAATATCGATGCTAATTCCGAAGAAAACTTGATCTTTGAGAATTAAGTCAAGGAAATGTTGGTTTACCTTGGTGCAGTGTCGAGGACGGGAAAATAGGCTTGCAAAGAAGAGACATAGATAAATAAATAAATAATTTCTCTTTGTGCATTGACCTACCAAATGCTTTACACCACATTCGGATCAAATAATAATGGTTAAGAAAACTAGCTCTGAGCTACCCAGTAATGATTGATCTACTTAGTAATGGTTGTAAGAAGTTGTGATTTGATAAGCCTGACATAGTTTGACACAAGGCTACAGATATGGAGAATTCAGCGAGAAACGAACTCACTATTCAGTGCTAATGGTTAAGCAACTGATCTGACTTATTTCACATTGGGGTGCCCAGTTGAAGAAGGCCACAAATATGAAGTATCCGATAATTAGTGGTAATGGGTAATCGGACTAGCTCGGTAGACATGCCACGTTGAAGCGTCATGTAAAAGAAAAGTATTAGGATTAATTTAGCCTACCTTGGTTTGGTACAAGGACATATGTAGGTGAGCCGTAGATGAAGAGCCAACTCATTACTCAGTAGTAATGGTCAACCAGACTCGGTAGCTAACAATTACTCCACGTTGAGAAAAAAAAAAATAACAATGAAGGTTGAATTTCTCACTCTCTCGCACACATCCCTTAAGATTAGGTTCAAGAGAATAAAAAGAAGCAGTTCTTAGTCATGTGTCATACTAAGCAAAGAACAAAAAGGAAATAAAAATCGGAAAGACACCAAGAGTAAAAATAAAGCGGAGAGGGAAGAAAGAAGAAAGAGAGAAAGAAAGACATAAAAAAGAATGCATAAATAAACTTGAATTTAAAAAGAGAAAAAATCAGAACGTAAAAGGAAATTGTGGAGAATATTAAAGAAAAAGGGGAAGAGAATTGAAAACGAAAAAAAAAAAAAATGAAGAAGAATATCCCAAAAGAATAATAAAAAGGAGAAGATTAAAGAAAAAAGAAAAACGTAAAGAAAATAAAGACAGAATAAAAGATAGAATGAAAGAAAAAAAGAGCAGCCAAAATTGAAAGAAAAAAATGGAAAATAAGAATATAAGAAAGACATTTATAAAGACAGGATAAAACAAAAGAAACAAGAAAGGAACTTGAAGATGGAGTAGGATTAGGAGAACGGGGACGCACGGTTAATGCAAAAATTGACTCGGAACAGTGACGGGTGGAGCCGAAATGCAATAAGATGACAGGATAGTGTTTTCTGAATAGAAAACAAAAAGAAGAAAATAAACAAAAAAAGATAATGAAGAAAGACGAGTCGAAAGAAAGCAAAACGATGGTGAAAGTAAAATAAAGCAAGGAAAGGCAATAATATCTTAACGTCTTCCCTCAAAAGCACATAAGTGGAAAGCCGGGGTGGACGGTTAAGGTCTCACAGAAGCAGCGTAACTTTGAATGCACGTGGTCGATCTGGGGCGGCCTCCAGTAATTACATAGCTTGGGAAAAAGAGCCGATCGCGCAAAGGAAAATCATATTAAGCTGTTTATCGAGAAGAGCGGCGTTCCGGAGACCAAAGTCCAAACAGAGTGAAGCGAAAACAAATAAGCCCAGCTATGACGATAATGATGATTGCTAGGGGAAGACGCGGCAGCAATGGAAGTAGCAGGAGGCGAGGAAGAGGAGAGATTGTAATAAGTATAGAAGCCAGTAAAGGGTCCGACTTGTGTGAAAGTGTGTAGTGGGGGGGAACTGAATATGAGTATCGATGGTAATACCGGAGAAAACTTGATCTTTGAGGATTAAGTCAAGGAAATGTTGGTTTACCTGGGTGCAGGGTCGAAGACGGGAAAAAACAGGCTTGCAAAGAAAAGACGGACATAGGTAAATAGATAATTTCCCTATGTGCTTCGACCTATCTAAACCTTTACGCTACATTCACCTCCACCATAAGAACATTATTTGGTGTTGGTGTAGGAAGACAGTTTTAGGAACAGAAAAGAGAAGGAAGAAAACGAAAGAACGCATGGGAAATTATATATATATATGTATGTATGTATCAGGAAAAAACGAGACAAAACTAAGAGCGCAACGGTTAGTTTCACGTAAGGCGATCTTCAGTTGAGTTGAATTTCTCGTAGGTTTTTTTTTTTTGAAGTATGGACGAATCACTAAAAACTTAATCAGAAAAGGTGGTAAAATAATAGGTCTTATTCAGATATTTTGTTCGATCACCCGTACTGATGTGATAAGGACCAACACACCCGAAACCCACCCAGTATGAAACTTAGAGTTGTTCTCTTTTTCTTCTTTTCTATCCTTAATTCGTTTTTTACTGATATAGTAACTGTCTTTTGAGACACTGTGCCCTTTTTTCACACCCCATCCCACCCAAGAACGTGACGTTTCTACAACGTTGCATATAGCTTGCACAACATTTTCTTTTTTTTTTTTGCAGACAACCTGTTGTGTACTCGAAATCTGTTGCGTTCAAATCGCACTGGCATTCTTTGGAAATATATGGATACATGTTTTCTTCTCCCTACATACGCGTTAAATCAGGGAAGATTGTATTCCTTAGCCTTCAAAACAGTGGAAAGGCAACAGAAAACTATTCCATTATCTTTCTCAAGAAGTCATGTCACTTACTAAAATTATGAGAAAGGCAAAGTAATATTAGTTCCTTGACAATCTATAAATTACAATACGCCCTTTAACTAATTAAAAAAGTGATTTATTAACTTTTTCCATTGTTTCGATTTTAACATTTTAACTTGTATTGCTTCCCAGAGATCCTTTCGCTTGAATATTGTTTTTCATTCTCATATCTCAACAAATTTTCTATTAAATTGATATTTGGGGATGTTGGATCGATTCTATAAATTTTTTGTATTTGAAATATTTTTGTTTTGCATAATATGAAGAAATATTATCTTGCAGGACTAAACTTATTGTATTACAATCTTACGGCCATATCACGTTGAAACACTGGTTCTTGTACGATCCCAGAAGTTAAGCAATGTTGAGCCGAGTTCCAGTTGGGTTCGTTATATTCACTTACGTACAAATACCTTTGGGAAATGTATGAATTCATCTCTTCTTCTCCAAACTATCGGTTAATTAGTAAGACTTGTATCTGTAAAATTATTGTTATCTAAGAAAAGAAATTCTTATATTCTAAAATATATTCTCATTTTAAATCAACCTGCAAAGGGGTGATAAGCCATAAAAAAACAAGTCAATAAATCAATCTTATATTATAAAAGAAAAACTTATCAAGGAACATTAATTGAAATTATCATCATCTTTGAATGAACTTATAAGTCAACTGCCCGTAAGACTAGTCCAAATCATTACTCCACATTTCCCTGTTGTCTTTGAAATAATGTCAGTTGACTATTCCCATGAAAGGCTCAACCTGTAGTCGAGAAATTGGATTCATCCAATATAGCTGTACCTTCACCACAAATAATTACTGCCGAGAATGCATTTTACATGTATTTTTCCCAACTCACAAGTTTTTTTTTCTTATGAATGCTCTCTTAAATATGTTAGGTCACTCTACGAGTACTACTGGTATTATGTAACCCTGTACTATCTGTCGAAGTGTTGGGTCTTCGATGACTAAACCGGTTGTTCTGCCAGGCTTTTCTGGTGAGATTTGCCACTAGACACCGAACAGGATTAAAATGATTAAAAGAGGATTAATAATCGACACTTTCGTGACCAAAACGGTTAAATCCATGTCCATGCCAGACGGTTACGAGAAGTGTAAAATTTAAATGATATCATAAAAAGCAACAAAAAAATAATATAGACTGAAATTAGTAATACAATTTTGTTATGCCGTCCTATAATCAATCATTTTCAATACAAACATACTGTTAAACCTGAGTGTTGCGATAAAAAGCAACAAGAATAAGATGGAGTAAAATTAGCAATAAAATATTTGTAATGCTATTCTATAATAAATTATAGTAAATGTATTTTTTGCAGACAATCTTTTGTAATACATTTCTGTTGTAAGGCCAACCATTGAGTTTTGCGATTAAAGCAACAATAATATGATGGAATAAAACTAATAACAAAATACTTATCATGCTTTTCTATACTAAATCATATCCAATATATTTGGAAGGCAATCATTTGTAATACATTTCTGTTGCTGAGCCATTAAATTAAAAGATGACTATAATGAGGAGAAAAAAGTAAAGAAAAATGATCAGGAAACTGATAAGATAATAGAAAGTAGAATAAAAAAAAATATACACTATCAAGTGACAGTTAAACTATTCAATGGTGTCTTGCAATAGGCGCTCACAGCCTGCTCAATATGTAGTCTAAAGTAAAAAAAAAATATTCTACATTTGCTCGATGGTTTGCCACCTCGTCTCGCAGAATAATTCACTAATAGATTTGGATCCTCACTTGGTGTACTACTAATGTGAACTAGTGTCAGACGAAGCAATACTTACTAATTATATCAATAAGCACTTTACCATTAAGTAGCTTTTAAGTTAACATATGAAGCGATTATACAGTAATGCAGTCGATCCTCATTGGGTGTCCAACGACTTTGCTCCTAGTTAACACGGAGTGCTTCACAATGAGATAATTGTTAGAAATCTAATCTCGAAGATCGTTACTACCGTAGTGACTTCAATTCTCATTGAATTCCTGAATTTAATTGAGTTTAACAAATACCAAACTTGTTATAAAAGAACTTTTAGCAATACATTTTTTTAGTTACTTCCCCTCCTTAGATTCAAGAGATCCCCACTGTGGAGTAATAGAAAACAGCTTCATTTACGCTTGATGTTACTAATGTGGTTTCGGTAGTTTTTTTTTTGTTGTTGTTTTTTTTTTTTTACATGGAGCTGTCATTCTTATCGCTTTTTAATTCGGAGTTACCCTCTCCTACACCGGTGGCCAAACAGGGCTAGAGACCCTATTTTGCCCTTCTATTTAACCCAAGTTAATTGCTCCATACAAATGTCAGACTATCAGTAGGACGTTTAATCAAAGAACAGTAACTAGCTAGACTTACAGATATTTATCACTATACGGAGTTCTCTTCTTACTGAAAGATACATACTTATGGCCTTGAACGGAAAGAAATGGAAGAGAAATAAAGAAAGAAAACAAAATAAAGCAAGAAAAAGAAAGAAAGGAGAAATGAAAGAATAAATGGAAAGGAGTGAAGGATGGAAGAAAAAGAAAGAAAAAGTTATAAGGAATAAAAAGAAAAAAACCCAAAGTGCGTAAAGAAATAATAGAAAAAAAAACGGAAAAGAAAAAGTAAAGAAAAGGAAATGAAAGAAACTAAGGAAAGTAGAGAAAAAAGGAAGAAAGAAAAAGTAAAAAGCAGGAAAACGAAAAGGAGAGAAGAAAGGAAGGAAATAATAAATAAAGAAATAAAAGAAAATGGAAGAAGAGAAGGAATAGATAAAGAAAAATGAATGGAAGGAATGTAGGTTAAAAAAAAGAAGAGAAAAGTAAAAGAAGTAAAAAAAGGCAATAAATAAAGAAAGGTACCAAAAAAAAAAAAAAAAAAAAAAAACAGACAAGAAAAAATAAAATGGAAAGGAAAAAGAAATATATTAAAGAAAGAAAACAAAGAAAAAAAGAAAAAGAATAAGATGGATAAAGAATTTAGGAGAAAAGGTATAAAGATACAGAGAGAGGGGAAAATAAATAAGGGCTTGAAATACTTAAGAGGCAGAGAGAAAGTAAAACTCATTCGGACGGAAACAAACGAAAAGGGAAAGGAATGAAAATAAAATAAGCGCTGCATGAAGGAAAATGATGAAGGAATAAAAGAACAACGGAAAAGCTTAAAAGAAAAAAAATGATTAAGAAACAAATATCTAGTGAAAAAAAAACAAAAAAACAAAGAAGAAAGACAAGGATAATAAAGCTAAGAAAGAAAATACCAAAAACAAAAATTCGAAAAGAAAATATTAAATAAGAAAACAAAAATGTAATAAACAACCGCAATGTAGAGATTTACTAAGCATAGGCCGTAAATATTGAACACACAGTGAGGATCAAACTCACAATTCAGTCGTGATTGACCTAGCGAAACAATGTTGCTAACCATTACAACGCGTCGAAGTGCTCAACAACTGTAATATAGATGTAAGAAATTGTAAAGGCAAAATTCGAAGTAAACAAATTGCGAAAAAAATAGAAGAAATTTTAGAAATTAACCCCGTCACCGAAGAAAAATGAATCAAATCAGAAGAAACTAAAAAAGCAAAAACACCCCCCTCCCACAATATATATATATATTTATATATATATATATATATATATATGTAAGGAAAGAAATTACCTTGGACGCTAATAGGATTATTTCCTGCTTTTTAGTTCGCCTCGTAAGACAGCGCCCCCGTGCGGATAAGTTACTCTAGTTAAGGAAGCGTGAAATGGCCTTCTTAAAGTTAGATACGTTAAGAAAATGTAAGAAAAGAAAAGAAAAGATAAAACAAAAGAAACGATTTTCCAAAAGCCACGAAATGGGCAATGAACGAACGAATGGCGGCGGCAGCAGCAGGTTATGGTTTGTGAAGAGATCCACGAAAAATGTTTAGCCAATTGGAGAAGGTAAACGGTTCCAAAACAGGTTTATTTCGCCAATGAAGAAGATATCGCAGCAGTAAGGAATTTAGGAGAATTATAAAGAAAAAAAAAATAAAGAAATATAAAAAAAAAGGAGAAGGAAAGGTAATTTGGTCTATGTTGTACAAAGAAAATCGATACAACCAGAAAATAGATTAGCTATATTTCACAAGGGAGATAACAATGTTTGGCTGATGTAAAGAGGAGACGCAGACGCTGTGAAATAATGTATTGGTGCTACCAGAGGTCAGCTGGCAAAAGAAAGACGTCTAACTTTTGGAACCCTAACAATATAGATGATACAATTTTGATTAAAAGTATATTCACGATATTTCGATTAATAGGGACATAGTTTGAATAGAGCAATTTTGGCCCAATTAAGCAGCTACTCAATTTACGCAATTTCGGTTTGAATAAAAAATAGAAAAATAAACGTTTTTTCCTGTTTAATCAGTTAATGTTCGTTTGTTAAACAAAATCGTATAGAAATATTTTAAAAACTACAATTTTTGCCCATTATTGATTTAATAGCAAACTGAACTATTAACTCTAATTCTTAATGCTTATTGATATTTGAATACATAATCGATTGTCGCCTCCTGTACTGTCTCAATTGACAGCTTGTGAACAAAATTAGCGTAGCTATTTTGTGATAATCTTAATAAGCGACATAACTAAACATATCATTAGAATTGTAAAGGATAGAACTTGTAGCAGAATTAGACTATAAATAGGACATGAACAGTGTGACGTTGCCTATGACACCGGAACAAGAAATGCTTTCTTCATTAACAGAATGCTATCAGAACGTGCAATACAAATACAAAAAGGCCTTTACTTATGCTACATAGATTACAAAATATATAAGTTACGGCACAAAGACATATTTGAAATCCAAGAAAAGCTTGATTTATATATAAAATGTTTAAGTAATCTGTAACGTCTACTGGGAACTATTTTGGTAACCAATATATATGTTGTTCTAAGTAGATACTTACCTAAAAATTTACAATAAAAAAAACAGTTAGAAAGAGTCCGGAAAAGATAAATGAAGTCTGTATTTTCTAGAAAGAGAACATGCTAGCAAAATATAAGGATGTGTTACATGCCTTCTCTCCGACCCTGAAAAGCAAAGTTAGTGGATATTACAAAAGGCTGTTTTATTCAGTCTGGCATGTCCTGTTGTAAAAAGCTGTTTCTACTCATGAATTATGACGTCACTCTATGAGTGCTACTGGTACCATATAACTCAATATTACCTACCACATGCTTAGGTCATTGGGGATTAAACTGGTTCCCTTACCTGGATTTTCTAGTGAGGAAGGTGGCTAGGCAAACAACTGGATCAAAAAAAAAAAAAAAAAAAGGGAGGATAATCCTTCTTAGAAATTCACCGGCCATCTAACACAATATGGTATACTGGGCTCCATAGCTGTGTATGCAACCAGTGTGGTGATGACACGGCGTCAATGGGTGGAAGGCTTCATAAACTAAATCAACGGATAGCGTGGATGGTTACCCTGATGGAATCAATAGCCACGTATCCGTTACAAAGGCGAGTCTTCGAGTTAGTAGATATCGGTTTTGGTTTGATCTGGAGAGGGACAGGCACCGCCAGATTTACTTACCCAAGACATGCACCGTATGAATGACTACGTCTACGACTTTCAACCATTAATATTTTTTAAAAGTACTGGAGCAATCGAAAATATTGAAAGGACACCTGAAGGCGGGGTAATGATAAACGAATGAGTTCGATCTATACTGGGTGCACCATATCTGTGCCCAAATTAAGCTGAGCTTAGTAATTAACACGAGCCTATTTGTTTGATTGAAATCCTGAGTCGTGAGTTCGATCTCTTTTGGGTGCAGCATAAAGATGACTAAACTAGGCCTAGTAGTTAACACGGGCGCATCAGTGTGTGGTAATGGTTAATGATCTTGTCCCTTTAAGCATTAATACAGAGTAGTGAGTTCAATGTAGGGTAACTGTTAACAAGCTTTTCTGTTTGACCATTAGTACAGAATAGTAGCCTCTGTCTGGGGTAACGGTTAACGAGTTAGTTCTCTATAGTAATATTAAAATAGACGAAGTGACGATTCCAGCGTGGGTATCATTGAAAATTGTCTTAAAACCATATCACGGTTTGGACCAAGACTTGTGAGTAAAATTAGGTTGATAAGACTGCTTGGAAGCCATCGATAGTTGTGCTAGCATTAAGTCATAAGTCATAGTGACCGAGTGTTTGAGTGTACTGACATTGTCCAAACTGGTGATCACAACCAGATTATGTGCTTTCTCCCAGAAACTGTAACTAACATCCGTTCAGTATAGTTGTAGTATAAACCATGGGTTAACTCTGGGTTTTCAATAAACACAAATGTTCCTGAGCAGGGGTCTGTCACAGGGATTGTCTAATCATCCTAGCAGACAAGCATACTCAGAAACGAGCTGCAAACCATATTGAGTAGAGAGTTTGGTAACTTTGAATGATTTGTTTTTTTTTTATGGTTTATCAACACTTTGTGGATTATTTAAAGCCAAATCATTCTTTGGGTTATAAGAATATTTTTTCTTTTTTGCAAGTGAATATTACATTAACAACTGATAAGAGATAACAAGGATTTTTCCAGATGCAAATCGTAATATTTATCTGTAGATGAGCGGAGAAAAGATAGATTCATGGTATTTTCAATGGTATTTACGGGTAAATGAATGTAATGAACTTGACTGTAATTTGAACTCGGCTCTCCGATTACATAATTCGAGCCTGATAATTTTGGCCTTGTGCCAAACTACATGACAACCTCATACGATAGAAAACGCAATTAACTTGAAAGGTGGCGTAAAGTCATTGGAAAACAGAGAGAAATAATTACTGACTGAAAAACTGATTTCGGCAATGAAAAAAAACAAACTTTTGCCTGAGTTGAATATTTTTGTCTTTCAATTATCCTTGTTCGAGAAGAGGGAATAAATCTAAGTGCGAGTCGAAACGAAGAGAAAATTAACAACATCTTGTCTGAATCAGAGATCAGAAAGCTTCCCTTAAAGTATGCAATAGTGTGGCTTAGCGAAGTAAAGATCAACTTGGAACTGGAATTATTTTTTACTCCTCTACAAGGAATTATTGGAACTTGACGTTTTGACTGTCGTTAGTGTGTGTGTGTGTATGTATACATATATAATTATTAATTAAAGAATATCAAACACTAAAATCGGGCAGGTAATAAATTTTATTTCATGAGAGCTTTAAAAAAACAGCTTCAATCTTCACCTGATGATTTGTTTCTAGGTCTTGAAGATTGAGAGCTGTTTTTTTAAGCTTTCATGAAATAAAAATTATTACCTATGGAATTTTAAGTGTTTGATATTCTTTAATTAATAATAATTTTGCTCTGTCTTTTGACATAGAGCTCTACCTGGATCTATGTCCTCCTGGAAATTCCATACAGATTACCGTATTGTATCATTACTATATATATATATATGTGGATGGTCCTGCACGAGGCCTTCACCACTATAATCAAATCTCATGTGCCGGTGTCGGGCTGTCGGTTTCCTGGAGACTGATCTGCTTGACCCTCATACGTCGAATCTCGACGGGAGAGTCGATTATATATATATATATATATATATTAGATTTCGCATAGTTGTGTAGAGACACCTACACGCACAAGGGTGCCTGAAAACATAATGTACACATCCTCCACCTTTACAAAAGCTCGACAGGAGCTATCCAGTTTTCACTTATTAGTCTCTCCGCGTCCTTTTCCACCCTGAAAATCCTCTCTCACGGCTGAGATATCACAAGCTTCTCATTGCTCCATCGTTACTTCCATGGAAAGTGCTCAGACGAACTACATTCCTTAGTTACACCATCTCTAACCTTCACGGCTTGGACCCGCCATGCTACGCACATTCCCTCATTTCCTTCGTATTCCATTGGTGAGAAGTAAGTTCCACTCAAATGGTTTCTTCCCGCGAACCTATGCTCTGTAGAACTGATTCCCAATGGGTTGTTTTCCTGATCACTACAATCGAAACCTGTTCAAGTTTAGGGTTAACCGTTATCTTCACCCAATATCTGCATAAACTGTGCCACTTACTCAGTAACACTCTACCTTGAGTGGCGCCTGGGCATTGTACAGGATGAACCTCATTGTAAAAAAAAATGTATGCATAGCTATTAGCGGGTAATTTAATGACAA